CGCTATAAAAATAACAACATAGCTGGTCTCATGGTGCCATCGCGTGCTAACACGAACTTCATAAGTCCCGAATATGATTATGAGCTAGACAAATTCAAGCGGTCGATTTCACATTGCTTTCATATGCAATTTTTAACTACCACACTCCTATTCACGATCATTCTGGTAGCACGTGAAGGCAGCATCAGTGAAAACAGACAGACAATTGTAGCTTTAGCAACATTAGCCTTAAAGAGTGCCAAGAAGCTCGTTCAGAAAGGCAATTTGGAAAACAAACGCGTGATACTTACTTCTTCTAGATGGCATAACGTTAGCTGGATCACGAACAGTTGGCACTGCTCCATCCTTCAGGAGCAACTTTTGTGCAAAACCTGCTTTATACTGACACTCATTCACAAAGTAGTCCGGTGTAAAATGATTCGCACAGACGCAAGTTAATTTCTGTAGAGTTGAGGGAGCATCTTCTTCGAAAACAAAATTAATCCACCTCGTCTTCAGCGGCTCAGATTTCGGGAGTAAATGGAGAGAGCTATGTGGATTAATACATCCAGCAACAGAACACCTAAAACGCTTGGGAGACATTCTCGTCAGTGCAGCAATGGCGGACTGTGTACAACTCGCTGTGAACTCGCTCAGGGCGGTTCTACGTTAAAACGGCAGTGTCTGTCAACATTCGTGGGCGGGGCCTGTGGCTATTGTGACGTCACATTAGCACCAATGCTAAAAATAGGCTATTGGGAGACACTGCTTATTATTTATGGGGATTAAAAAAAAAGGAGGAAGAAAAAAAAAGGATTTTTATCATTATTGGGTGGTTGTGTACACACACTGCCAACACACATTTATGTCCAAACACCTTGCAAAAGTGAATTTTGCAGTGACGGAAATGTTATGCCCCTTACCATATTGTGATGCCTCGAGTGTTTATTGTCTTTGTTTTAACATTCAAAACGTTTATGTTATGTTTACTCAGTTAACTTACAGCTATAATAGCAATGCCTTTGTCCATATAAGGGATTTCCTGAGTTTCGTTACTTCTATGACGGAATATGTGGATTTTCTGTGCGAGGGCGCCCTCTGGCGTCCAGTATGAATTAAACAGACATCATGTGTTTATAGTGCTAATGGCCAATTCATCATTTTTTGGGGAATTTTTATTTATTATTAACCGATTTTAAGTATCAGTTCAGGCACCGTTTAGGCATCGGAACCGTTTTTTAAAGGTTTTTTTTTTTTTTTTTCAGTATCTAAAAAAAAAACAAACGATACCCAACCCTAGTGATGATGCTTCTTACGTCTGTTTCGGAGAACCAGAGGACAAATATTTCAATCGATAGCTCAGGCATGGCACCAAAATGAGGCACCAAAATCTGCGTTCTGATTCGGTTCAAGTACATACCGGTTACATAGGTACCGGTGCCATATTGGTACTGGGTTTCGGTACCCAACCCTATATTTCATGCAACTCACTGTAATCAATCTTAGACTAAGCTTTGCACACAAGAAGAAGGTATATTCTTCCATATTTCCTACCCACAGAATATTTGGCAATTCTGGTCTTGTGTACATATGATCTGGATTTAGATTTCAATCACCCTGCCCTTTCAAGCCCCCTATTTCAAAGAAAGCAAGTGGTCAGTATCTGCACTTTATTTAAAATGCATAGCCCCTGCTTCCTTATGTTACCATGGTAACAGAATCGGGAAAAACAAGACAAGGTTTCTTCCTCCTCTGAGTAATAAATTCCCACACATTCACCGCCCACACCTGTCTCCAGAACAAAGATCAAGAAAACACATGTCACTATAACCGCTGCTTTATGCTTTGATTATCAAAAACGGCAGTGGCTCAAAAAGTGCTATGGACTTTGGATCACTGCAGCATGGGTTTTCTCATAAAACTAGTGAGACAGGCCTGAGGATCACCATTCACAAAATCTGCATGAGGAATCACCTCAGGCTGGGAGACCACGATGGATATTTGAGTTGAACTGTTACGTAACAAACCACACAGAAACCAATGGTGAAAAAAGGACTGTGGGCACTATTTCAAAGGTGTGAACATGACGGGAAATGAGGACATAAAACAGCCAGACATTACCAAAACATTTCCTTGCACCAGTCCTTGTCTGTGCGTTTCACTAAGGCTGTAAACAACAATTACTCTCTGACCTTAAGAAGAGCAAGTAGCATCAGACAGGGAGCGGAGATTTCCAAGAATTCCTTTACAATGCCAAGAACATGATTACAACAAGACTACTGATAGTACAGGTGCATCTCAATAAATTAGAATGTCGTGGAAAAGTTCATTTATTTCAGTAATTCAACTGAAACCACAACAAAGCTCAATTGCTGGTAGTTTGAGAGAAGGAAAAGGTTCATTGTCTTTGTTGTCACAAATATGTGGGTCTTTTCCAAAAGCTTCTTGCATTGGAATAAGTATGCAAAGGCTTTTTTATATTATTATCATTTAAAATTCTGCCCATGCTTCGCTTGAAATCTCAATCTGTGCAAAGACAGTGGTTTTCAGAGAGTAAACATTGCAGTGCTGCAGAGTTCCAAACGCCATATTGATTTAGCATTTAAAAACATATTCTAGACTGTTCACATGATATTATTAATCTCTGTACTGCTGCCCAGTAATCATCAACAGATTAAAGTCCAAGCATTACAGTATACACATGCTGTTAAAAAATAATTTACTGTACAATTATGAAGATGACTTACAGAAGGGTAGAACTCTAAATCAAACACTTCAATAACAGCGTCATTCCACAAAAATGGTGCCTTTGTATCGATCATATTTGTGTGTTATAGCCATTTTTCTTCACATATCAACAAAAATCAAGTAACTTTTCCTTATGAGCCTTTCCTTTTTGGCTTTTTTCCCCCAGACCTGTTAACTTCTCCTTAACTAGCAATGCATATTTTAATCTGGAAAAACAATGTCTGTTTGTTTTTTGGTGATATTATTATTATTTATATTAGCCTATATCATTATGTTATTTATTTAAAAACACTAATAAAAAGTCTATTATTATATGAAACTTCATAAATAACAAACTTAGGATATCAAATTAAAGTATTTTACCTTAAATTGCAATCCCTGTTATCATGATTATTATTAAAAAATTATTATTTGGAGAAAGGCATAGGGGAGAGTGGGGACGGTTGCAACATGGCTTATTTCTTCAATCAGGAATGAGCTACAGTGATCATATTCATACTACACATGCTCAATCAGCCCCTCATCCTTCCTGGATGAAATCAGGCACATGTGACCATTCCTTCTACAAATAATAATTTTCATGGTAAAAAAGTATTTTTTTTAATCATCAGATTTTTTGTCATACTGTCTAATTTGTTTGCGTGAAGCATTGTAAAAACATATGATTTATATCTGTGTTTTCTTAGCTTCTAATAGGCATAGTTAGCATGTGTCAAAGATATTGTGTCAAGCTAATATACCACGTTTTGTCACGGCTGTCAGTGTGGGGACAAGTTGCAACACGTTGTTGCAACCGTCCCAAAATTCTGTCCCTTACCACAACATTGATGTAAAAGCTTGCCATAACATTACATAATTGTAATTTTATGGATTAATAAAGAAGCCCTTTCAATAGTTAGGTATTTCTCCTTTTTTATTTAAAGGGGTCATATCATGCGATTTCAATTTTTCCTTTCTCTTTGGAGTGTTACAAGCTCTTGGTGCATAAAGAAGATCTGTAAAGTTGCAAAGACTAAAGTCTCATAATGTTCTTTTTAGCAACATCATATGACCCCTTTAAGTAAAAGTGGACTCACTTCAAACGTGGACTCAAGTTAGTTCCATAAAATGGTAGATTTGTCTAATTTGAATTTTTTTTAAAAGTAAGACTGATTACCACTGTTAACTGCTAGTTGGTCAAACTAGTTCTTAAGACAGTCTTAAGATAGTGGCTATGTTTATGAAATGGTCTCAGTTCAGTAATCTTTATGTTAACAGAAGTAGGCTATTATTAAATTTCAGTGTCTTGACTCTGATTAAATTAATATTTTGTAGTTCAAATGTATTGTATGAATGTTGCAACTGCCCCTGTGGACTGTTGCAACCGTCCCCTGTTGTGGGGTCAGTTGCAACATTTGACTTTGTCTATTCAAGTATAAATTGTATGTATATAATCATATGTGCACGTGTTACAGCAATGTGGGTGAGTAGCTGACTGACGTGGCTTTATTGTATTATAATTCTGGCTTTCTAATGCAAACAGTCTCTGAGAAACTAAAGCAAATGCAAGAAGTGTTGCAACCGTACCCACTCTCCCCTATCTAGGATATCACAACAGTTTTTCCGCCATTTAGTTTGACACGGTATATTTTAGATTTGAGATATTTCCAAAAATCTTTCAAATCTTTAAATTTACTTTAAAATCACCTTCTCAGCATGAAAAAGATTCATATTTGAAGACCGACCCTGAAGACAAATAATAACACATAACGTTAGTCAAAACTGTGCGCACTTACAAAATGTAATGCGAGGGAATCTCTCTCACCGACCTCAAGCGCCGCGCGAAACGCACCGGTGACTATTGTTAACGTTAGAAATGTGACTCAAGCCACTCAGTAAGTGGGATATTGCATAAAACAAGTCTTGCCAATCCAATCTTCCGTTTGAAAGGAGGTGCTTCTTAAACGAACGTTCTTAACTGTCAAACCAGTGTCAGTTTAGTGGAACAGTAAGTTGTCGCGCTGTTTGTGTGCTCCATTTACTTTTTGTACGCACATTTTGAGCGGCATCAAGCTTGGTCCGTTCAAGAGTGAATTAAAATAAACTTCCTAAAGCACAAATGCGCACTCTTGCCTGCGACACCGCGTGAGTTTCACTACTAGGTTTGCTCTGTTATGAGTCAAATGAAAGTAGCCAGTACTTCTGTGTATAACTATGCGAGATGGATAGGTATAGCAACCGCGCAAAGATATTTAATCTGTAATAAAGAATCCAAAAATGTATATCTTTCTCACCATTATAGTTGAAAGAAGCTTCTGAGGTTTTCTGCGATTCTGCTGCGCTATTTTCGGTATGCCGTCCGATTATTGTCTTGATAAATTTGCATTGCAGCGCTCTTTGGCTTTGCAAACAACCAAGACCCGACGGATCTATACATTTACCGTAATGTCACGCATACACTTTAGCAGCGCAGCACTGCCTACCGTAAATACGCAGAGCGCTCGTGTACACGTGACAGGCAGATTGCTCGCAGAAATACGAATGAATGGAGCCTCTGCCTGCTATAAGACAGTGGCTGAACAGAATAGCATTTGATTCATATTTCTGAGATATCTCTATCTTTAAAGTCTGAGAAATGGTTTTGTAAAGTTTTCATAGCTGAAAGAAGATTGTAAAATAGTGTTGACTTTCAAACACAAGGATGATTGAAGGGAAACAAATATTTAATGATTAAATCGTTTAAAACACATTGGTCAACCAGCAATCACAATATTTAAGGGGGAAAGTGTCCCTTTCAATGTCTATAGTGGTTGCGACACTGCTTCCAAATGCATTTCAGACACATTTTTAAATATGAGTGTTGATAAGATATTATAGTGCAGAAGTGTCATACATTGAGGCAACAAATTGCTTATAGGCCTACTGCTGTTTGAAAGGCAACCATGCAATCAAATTGTTTCTTTAAAGATGGCAAAGAGCTGAATGTGGTTATTGATCTGAAGGGACCTGATGGTTTCAAGTGGTGAGGAGTAGGTGCCATAAATGTTCTGTTCATCTAAATAACCTTGTGTCTAAAATACCTCAGTCTGATAGCTTACGTGCTATTTGCGATTAAACAAATATACACGTGAGAATTGCTTCAGCTGTTGACTCTAGTAAGAAAATCTTCCACAGAAGAGTAAATGCATGCATTGTATAGTTTGGACATGAAAGCAGTCCACATAGAATTCTGAAGTAATCTCATGAGACACCAACCCACACACTCTTTAAACAGAAATGTCTTGCCAACATAATGTTCAATATTTAAACATCCGTATACGCCAGCAAAAGGGACAAAACAAAACTCCACGTTCAATGTCCTCGTTCTCCCAGTAAGGCATGAACTTGAATAATATTATAAGCATGTCATATCATTTTGTGAGTTCTGATAACCGTTTGTGAGTGAAATTTGGGCATTTTACCCAAGAATCCTTGTAAAAAATGTACTGTTTGCTAGCTAGAGCATGTTGAGAAAAGAGTATTATATTAATACTGATAGTTTACTTAACGGTAAAACACATTTCCTCCAACTGAGACATTCCTAAAAACATTTTGACCCTAGTATTTTACTTCTGAATTTAAGGGAAGGAATGAAGTGTCCCACAGCTCATTGTTGAAAAAATGTAATCAAAATGCCAAAATCTGTGTCTGTCCTGTTAAAAACAAGTTTGTAAGTGGTCGGCTACATGAATGTTGTCTTTCTTGGTTCTGATTTCTGTCATAACTAGGGTTTCTCATTACTCAGGGCAATTAAATTGATTAGAAGTATCCTAAGACTTTAATGAGAACAGTAATTTGCACATTCAGTTCAGTGTCATGCTTCTTCCCACTAGAGCTGGATTACTGAATCTAGTGCAGCGTTGAGGGTCATTACATTTAAATGCCTATTGTTTTGTATTGTGAAAAAATTTGCATGCAGAGACAATTATGAAGTAATTTATTAGACACCTAAAGGAAGAACATATTTGATCAATCTGAGCTGTGCATTTCATCTCTGAATGAATTTTTGCTGCATCAAGATTAATCAAGGTATTCAGTTAGTCTATTCGAAACAATAGCTTATTTTTGTGAAGTACAGTTTAATTCTTCTTGGATTTTGATTGACACATTGGATTTTGCATCAAGATTAATCAAGACATTCAGTTTCTAGTCTACTATTGGAAACCATAGCTTATTTTCAAGAAGTACAGTTTAGTTTCCCGGACTGTCCTTAAAATAGGCGTGTAAAAGCTATGCAAATAGATGCAGCATTCATATACTAATTAAATATGATTCATCAGACCTCTAAAGCAATTTCAAGACTTTTCACTTCATGTAATTCAACTTTGGGTATACAGTAGTTAATCAGATTGTCAAGATGTCTGTCAGATGGAAAATAATCAGTCATTTTACAGACAGCATAAGATAATTCCACATCATTTTTGCAATAGTCTTGGAAAAAAGGCCTCTGTAAGAAATCATATCAATAGTTTCCTTTGATGAAAACTAGCTCTGAAAAACAAGTGTTAAATGTGTTGATACGGCGGTTGTTAAAAAGGCACATTACAAATACTGAGTGAAAATAACCAATATTCATTACTCATGCAACATTTTTACATCTCTCTAAGGATAGAGGCATTTATAAATGTCAGATGCAGGCTTTTGTGAATAAGAGAATATGAATATCAATTAATTCTCACATCCCTTCATCACATCTTTGCTGTGTAGCTGCTCCGATGGTGTTTTTTCAAGGGCACTGTATTGCACTGATGAAATCTGGACTGTTTTATTCTAGCCTTCACTGCCACTGCAACATTCATTCACAATGTTATCAAACATAGTTATAGTTATTATGTGGAAATTGGATGTACATTTGGTGAACAGAGAGTTGAGTCTTACATTTTACTGCATACTGAAAAACAGCTGAAGTTTAGCTTTAATGAAGGAGAGACAAAAGCTTGTGCACGAAAGGAAAACATAATGATTCAACAGCACTAACAAGACTGCAAGCAAACGCTCAAGTCTTTCTTCACTGTGTCGTTTACCACCCACACACATCTGTATGGATTACCCATAGATCTGAGCTCAGAGATGCCAGTTAGATCTATCAGAACATGTCAAGACGGAGCTTTGTTCATTTTGTTGCTCTGTTGTTAAGGATAGCATTGATTTGAGAGCAGCCATTAGGGTGTTCCTTTACATTGACTAAACCTGAAAGGGGCAGCGAGATCCCTATAAAGCCTCATGGTGGCTTACAAACTTAGTCAACCAAGGCCAAAATTGACCCTTCGTACTGCTGAGCCATAAACACAACCTAATCATGAACAAATCAATGACACTGGCTGTTATTGTAAACTATGCTTACCTCCTTTTAAACCCCTTTCAGTTCTCCACTCATCTGGAACTGATTGAGTTAATTCAATATTCAACTGGCCTGAGATGAACTAATGTTTTTTGTTGTGAGTTAATAACATTACAGAAATTATAAACACTGCATAAAAACACTGAAAAAATGGTGTAGGATTTATTTTAAAACTATTTTCACTCAGGAATTGCTAGTAAATTTCACAAATAATTACAAAGAAACAAGTAAAACAGTGAATTAAATGTGAAACTTGGAAGTAGACAGACTGAAAGAGTATTTTCTTATAACTCCAAAAATCTTTGTTTCATTTAGAACTTTGAATTTTATTTTTACAGTGTACATCCTGAGAGCCAAATTAATAATTGTCTTTTAAACTTAAACCTGATTTTTTTTTCACCCAAAAACTACAAATTTTGTCGTCATTTCATCATCATCATGTCACTGGACCCCAATGATATGGATAAAAACAGTTGAAACATTCTTCAAAATATCTTCTTTTATAAAAGTAAGTAAATGATGGCACAGTTTTTATTTATTTGATTTAAGCATGACAAATACAATTTCCTGTGTTGTGATTTGCCATATAGTTTGATTTTAATTAGTGTATTGAAAATGTAGACAGCCACTTTTAAGTTGTGTAAAAACTAAGTTATAAACTTGCCTTTTATACACAGAAACTGCACTCCACAAAATTGTTGAATGAAGCTGTTAATGAATTCTTTCTTTCTCCCAGTCAAAAGAAAAAAAGAAGAAAAAAATGGTTTGTTATCATATATTATGACAGTATTATGACAGCATCGGGGCTTTAAAGAAGATTTGTACAGCCTTCATTCTGACAGAAATTATGTTTAAATGCTGAAAGAACTTCAAATAGACTTTGAATAGCATTAGTAGCTTTTCAGGTTCACAAGTGAAAATGAAAAGCTCTGAAGCTTAATTGACTACATAACCCAAGATTAGAGATGCACCGATTGACACCTGTTCTGCCGATTTGTGCTACCCTGTCAGATTTTGCTACCTCCCATTAAAACAGTGGGTAGTAGGCTACAATTCGACAACGAAAAATGCAACCTGTAAAATTATGGTTTATTAACGTCTACACCTACCCCAACCCTAAACCTACTCTTACAGTAATACAAATACAGTTATTATGTGTTATATTCGCGGTTGTGGCTAGAAAGGATACAGCTACAGGAAACCAACAATAAATTTTTTCTACCTATTAGATTGTGTTTTATTACAGTCTACACCTACCCCAACCCTATACCCTTACAGTCAGGGCCGGACTGGGACGCAATTTCAGGCCGGGAAATCTCACACTCACCAAATGGTACCTTTTGTGGTACAACAGCTTGTATTTAAATGGCCATCACATAAAAAGGTCTAAATCCTTGGTCTGTGGGCCGTGAAAAATAATTAAAGGTTGTCTCTTGAACTGCACATTCACTTCCCTTTTTACTTTTCTTCATTTTCCCCAATATCTCTGTCTCTCCCTTTTTTAATTGTACCTGTCACTTCTTGACCAGCAGGTCTACTGTTATGAACATAACTGTGTCCACCTTGTTGCAAAACGACCACCTCATTGCAATTTATCACAGAATGTTATTTATCTTAAAATGACTTAAATACCCGAGATTTAACAAACCTATATTTCATACAAATATATCAAAACAATTTTCTAAAGTGCCTAAAAGTCCAAATCAGTTCAATATCTTTTTTGAAAAATCTTAATACTGAACACATTATTGCATTATGCTGTGATATTTTTGTGTTGCTGTCTGCTCAAGCTCCCTCCCTTCCTATACAATAAATCCATGAGAATATCTGTCTGCTAAATTTATTAATG